CCAGAAAGCGACAGTAGGAGGAGGAGGAGGAGGAGGAGGAGGAGGAGGAGGAGGAGGAGGAAGAGGAGGAGGAGGAGGAGGAGAAGGAGGAGGAGGAGGAGGAGGAGGACGAGGAGGAGGAGCAGAAAGGAAGAGGAGAAGGCGCACGATGATGAGGAGGAGGAGGAGAGGAAGGAGGAGGAGGAGGAGGAGGAGGAGGAGGAGGAGGAGGAGGAGGAGGAGGAGAAGGAGGAGGAGGAGAGGAGGAGGAGGAGGAGCAGGAGGAGGAGGAGGAGGAGGAGGAGGAGGAGGAGGAGTGCGGGAGAAGAAGGGGCCCGAATGCGCCAAGGTCGACCCAGGGGTGGTGACTACCCGGGGGCAGTGTAGTGACCTCCCCTCGCCCAGGGAGCAGGGTGCCAGGAAAAGTTCGGAGTGCGGTCTGGAGTCCGAAGAGTGGGCGTCGGAGGGCTGTAAGAAGGCGCTCCAGAGAAGTCACTGCCAGAAGGCGGTGCACTGACCACCTCCGCTCTGGCATGAGAGCCGCAGGAAAGACTGGGAGGGGAGGGCCCGGTGGCGTGAAGTAAGGGCGAAGAGGCTCCTACGAAGGCAGGCGCAGGTGCTAGATGGCGCTGCCCGCCCTGATGGAGGCGGTGGTGGAACCTCTTGGGAGCCGCCTGGAGGCCTCTGGTGGCGTCTTTCTAATGTCTCGGGGGCTTCCAAGAGGCCCGATGACGGCTTCCACTACTCCCCAAGGGAGCCCGAGCACGCTCGAAGACGGCTCCAGATTCGACCCAGGGGTGGTCTCATCCCGGGAAAAGTGTAGGGACAACCCCCTGTCCCACCAGGGGCCCCCGCAGGAGGCCCAAGACGGCTCCCAGAGGGCCCCAAGACGGATCTCAGACGCCTTCAACAGGGCGCCAGCTGGCTGCAAGACGGGTCGAGAGACGGCGCACGGGTGGTCACTACCTGGGTGCACCTTAGTGACCACCCCTTGTTTCGCACACGCCCCAGCAGAGGCTCCCAGATGGTTCCAAGAGCGTCCCCAGACGGCTCCCAGAGGCCTGCGAGAGAGCTCGAGATGGTCCCTAGACGGCAGCAGGAGCGACCCAGGGGTGGGCACTGGCAGGGAGCAGCGTAGTGATCACGCTGTGTCTTGCAAGAATCTAGAGGCTCCAGCATGGGCCCCAAAATGGCTCCAAATGAGTTCAAGACGGCAGCCCAGACGCGCGGTGTAGTGACCATCCGCGCTGTCGCACCAGAGGCTAAAGAAAGACTGGCAGGGGGGGGTCCGCGGAATCCCAGAAAGGGGGCACGAGGGTGCTAGCAAGGCAGACAAAGGAGCGTGTCTCCAAGATGGTCGGGCGTGCGAGAAGCTGGTCGGCTCTCGCGAGCTGCCCGCCGTGATGGAGGGAGCCGCCTGGGAGCCTGTGGCCGCGTCTTTCTAGTGTCTCGGGGGCTTCTCGAAAACCTCGGTGCCGCAACGCGCTGAGGCCGCGCTGCAAGGATCTGGATGAGACGCGAGGGCCTGGCCTGCTTGCCTCGAGGGCCCCCAGAAGACGCGGGCCGATCAGACGGTGGAGCCAGCAAAGTGGACCAGCACTCCTGGCTTCCAGGATCCAGCGCAGACAGAGGGATCATGACGATCAGTCCTCCTTTTTCTCCTCCTCGTCCTCCTGACGGCAGCGACGGCAACGACGACGGCGGACGGCGAGAGAAGACGCAGCCGGGAGGAGGAGAGCCTGAAAGAAATGGCGCGCCACGACGATCTGCTTCGGATCGTCGGAAAGTACGTGCGCTAGGACGTCCACGATGAATGCCGAATCCGCGAACTCCGACAGGGAGGTAAGCGTTGACGTGGTGTTGCGGCACGGCCTCGTGCGGCCGTCTGCGAGGTCGTCGATGGCCGTCTTTGGGGATTGGAGTCCTGGCTTCGGGCTTGGACTCGGCGTTATGGGCCGATTGAATGATTGGGGCCGTCTTGGGCGCGTCGTGGGCCACGTTGGAGCTCAGTGGGCCGGATGGGGACACGCTTGGAGGCCTGTTGGGCCCTCCTGGGGCGGTCTTGTGGATCCCTTCGGCTAGCAGAGCAGGAGAGAAGACCAAACGCCTTCAAAAACGGAGGAGAAATCATGAATTTTGGCCTCATGCCTCGAAGGACTGTTGGAGGCTGTTGGAGGCCTCTTGGGCCTTGTTGGTGGCGTCTGGCTGGCCTCGTAGGCGCTCCGTGGAGCCTCTTATGGTCACTTCGGCGCGTTTTTGTGCGGCGGTCTCGATTGGTGGCGCTCGGGGGCGATGATCTTCGGGAGGGGTGTCAAGAAATGATCCTCTGGGAGCATGCTTCGGAGGGCCGTTGGAGGCTCTTGGAGGCCTCTGGGGCGTTGTTGGGAGCCTCTAGCGTGCCTCTTGGGCGCTCCTTGGAGCCTGTTATGGCCACTTCGGCGCGTCTTTGGGCGGCGGGCCCGATTTGTGACGCTCGGGGGCCAGGATCTTCGTGAGCGGTGTGGATAAATGGCCATCTGGGGGCACGCTGCGGAGGACTGTTGGAGGCTCGTGGAGGCGTAGTGGGAGGACTCTTGGAGGCCTCTTGAGCCCTGGTGGGAGCCTGTAGCGAGCCTCTTGGGCGCTCGGAGGAGCCTCTTATGGCCACTTCGGCCATTCTTGAGGCGACAGGCTCGATTTTTGACCCTCGGGGGCGAAGATCCTCGTGAGGGGTGTCGAAAAAGTGGCCCTCCAGGGGGGGGGCAATGCTTGCCCATTTCGCACGCGCTTCCGTCTGCCGTAGAGAACAGACTAGGGCTGACCCGTGGACTCCGTCCACGACATCTTTCTGGAATGGTTCTCGGAGGAACGGCGGAGATTTTGCCGAAAACCCATAAGCACGGCAGCGGCCGGGGCGGCGGCAGCGAGGCCGCGCCTTCGTGTCCGAGCTCTAGCAGCGCTCCAGCAGCTTGGCCGTCGCGGGGCCGCCGTCGTCGCCGTCATCGTCGGCGTTGTTGTCGTCGCCGCCGCGAGGCCGCCGTCGTACCCGTCGTAGTCGGCGTCGTTGTCGTGGTGGTGGTTGTCGTCGTAGTCGGCAGGACTGGCCCGTGGACTCCGTCCAAGGGGCCCCCAGGAAGGCTGCAGGAGTGAAGCACGTCAGGGCCCCGAGAGGCCCAGGAGAAGGCTCGGGACCGACCAAAAGTAAAAGTGCTTTTGGGCCAAATCCGGCAGGGAGCGCCAAGCAAGCGTCAAGGAGGCCGAAGAACCCCATGCGGAGCACGGGCACGGAATCAGGAACTGGGTCGAGATGGCTCGTGGCACCGTTCACCCTTGGGAGACTTCATCATCATCCTCCCCTTGCTCCTCCTCCTCCTCCTCCTCCTCCTCCTCGTCATCATCATCATCATCATCATCATCATCATCATCATCATCATCATCATCATCATCATCATCATCATCATCATCATCATCATCATCATCATCATCATCATCATCGTCGTCAGCAGCAGCAGCAGCAGCAGCATAATCGTCATCGTCATCACCATCATCATCATCATCATCATCGTCATCATCATCGTCATCATCATCGTCATCGTCATCGTCATCGTCATCATCATCATCATCATCATCATCATTATTACCATCATCCATCATCATCATCATCGTCATCGTCATCATCGTCATCATCATCAGCAGCATCATCATCATCATGATCCATCATCGTCATCGTCATCATCGTCATCGTCATCATCATCATCACCATCACCATCACCATCACCATCACCATCACCATCACCATCATCATCATCACCATCACCATCACCATCACCATCACCATCACCATCACCATCATCATCATCATCATCATCATCATCATACAGACCTTCTTAGATGCGTGGATCATCATCATCATCATCATCATCATCATCATCATCATCATCATCATCATCATCATCATCATCATCATCATCATCATCATCATCATCATCATCGTCGTCACTTCATTTGGAACGTCGGCCTTAAACGGCCGAAGACGGCCCAAGATCGCGTCAGACGCTTTCCAAATGGCCCCATACATCATTTGGGACGTCGGCCCCAAGCGGCCCCAGACGGCCCAATACCGCGTCAGACGCCTCTCAAATAGCCCCATGATGGTCCAAGATGCCCCCGAGAGGACTGCAAGAGCGAAACACGGCATGGCCCCAAAAGGCCGCGCAGAGGGCTCCAGACCGACAAAAAGGGCGAGGGATTTTGAGCCAAATCTGGCAGGGACCGCCAAACAAGCGTCAGGAGGGCCGAGGAGCCCCATGGAGCGCTTGGAGCTGTTTTGGGACCGTCTTCGGGCCTTCTTAGGCTGTCTTTGGCTGCTGTTGGGGCTGACTTCGGTGCATCTTGGGCCGTCATCTTGGGGCCTCTGGGGATCGTTTAGGAGCCTCTCGGTGCTTTTTTTCGGCCTCCTGGAAACCTCCTGGGGCCCTCTTGGGCTGTTTCGGGTGTCTCTTGGGCCGTGCTGAGGCCGTTCGGGGCCGACTGGGGGTTGTCTGGGGCCGTCCTGGGCGTCTCTGGAGCCGTCTGGGGTCTGAGGGGCCGTCTCGGGCTGTCCTGGGCCGCTCTTGAGGCTGTCTTGGGTACCTCGGGGGCGCCAGGGGCGCCTCAGGAGCCGTCACGGGGCCATCTTGGGACCCTGCATGGCCGTCTTGGACGCTATGAAGAGGGCAAGCCTGGGAACTGCTAAAATGCACGTTTCCTCTAGGGAATGTGAATATTTTTCGGTGTTCGGCCTCTCTTGGGGCTCTTCTTGGAGCGTTTTGGAGGCCTCTTGAGCCGTCTGGAGGCTGTCTGAGGCGTTGTCGAGCGCTCTGGGCGCGTCTCGGAGACTCTCTTGGACCGTCTTAGGCCGTCTTGGGGCCCTCTTGGGAGCCTCCTGGGGCGTCTCGGAACGCGCTTGGGCCATCTTGGAAGCGCGCCGGAGACTGCTGGGGCTCGCAGGGGATGGCCGGTCCGCTGCCATCGATGGGCCCCTCCGCGAGCGCTGGGCCAGCCGTTGTAGGAGAGATGACGTCGGGCTCCAGCTTCGCATTCCACATCTCGCTCAACAGCGCCAGCGCCAGCTGCCACTGCTCGCCCTTCTCGCACGCGCAGATCCCAGCGCTGTAGCTGATGGCATTGGGCTGCAGCTTCGCCTCCCACATCTCGCTCAGCAGCGCCAGCGCCCGCTGCCACTGCTCGCCCTTCTCACATCTGATCCCAGCGCTATAGCTGATGACGTCGGGCTCCAGCTTCGCCTCCCGCATCTCGCTCAGCAACGCCAGCGCCCGCTGCCACTGCTTACCCTTCTCGCACGCGCTGATCCCAGCATTGTAGCTGACTTGTGTGAACCCGTGGAAAATCCACGGCCCGCAGGTCCAGGCGTTGGTCCCGAACGCGCACGTGTCGGAAGCGCTGGAAGCGTCAAAAGTAATGTGTTTTTGCTAATCGCGCGAGGCCTGGGCGCGATTAGCAGAAACACGTAGGTTTTCAGACACAATCAGAGTAAGGGGGCCCGAACGATCTTACAGAGTCCCTGTGCGCGAGAAGTTCGATGTGGGGGGTGGACGCGTGGGGGCCAGAGTTGGGCGCTACGTTGGGGGGCCTCGTTTGAGGGCCACGTTGGGGGGTCTCAACAGGGGGTCATGGTTGGGGGCAACGTTCGCGGCCCTGCCGGAAACCATGTTTGGGGGCCGCGTGCGGGGTTCAGGGGCACATATGACGGTCGCGTTTGAGGGTGCGGGGTTCGGGGGCAGATGTGACGGTCACGTTTGAGGGCAATGGTTGGGGGCTGTGTGTGTTGGGGCCACGTTTGGGGGCGCCTGGGGGCTACGCGTGGGGTTGACGTTCGGGGGCCACGCTTACTGGGGCGGTAGGGGCGACCTTCGGAGGCTTTGTGTGGGGGCCGCCTTTGGGGGTCCCGTTTGGAGGCCACGGCGTGGGGCCGACGTGCAAGGGGCCACGTCCAGGGGCGATCTCAGAAAGCAGTGGGGGAGCCCCGGGGGCACTGACCTGGAAGCGTGAAAAGAAATGGGTTTTTGCTAATCGCGCTGGGACTGGGCGCGATCAGCCCAAACTCAAGGGTTTTCAGGCACCATCAGAATGAAAGGGCCACGTTAGCGGGCCCGCGCAGGGTGGTCTTGGGGCCATCTCGGGGGTCTCGGGCCGTCGCGGAAGTCGCTTTGGGCCCTCGTGGGCGGCATCTGGGGCCCTCCCTGGGGCGTCTTGGGGCCATCTTGGGGGTCTCGGGCCGTCTCGGAGGTCGCCTTGGGCCCGCTCGGGCGGGATCTGGGGCGTGGTTGGGGCTGACTTGGGGGTCGCTTGAAGCTCTCTTGGGCCGTTTTGGAGCCTTCTGGGGCCGTCTACGGGCCTTCTTGGGCCGTCTGGGAGTCCTCCTGGGGCCCTCTTGGACCGTGCAGGGGCGACCTGGGAAGCCCCCGAGGCCATCCTGGGCCGTTGTAGGCCCGAAATGGCGGGAACAGGACAATCCTCGAAACCTTCGGAAAACGCACGCGTATTGCTTCTAGGCGCCGTCCACGCGGTCCTCGGGGGCCGGGTCGGCTTCTGCCCTCTTGGGCGTCTGTGAAGCCGTCTTGGGGCGATCTGGGGGTCCCAGAGCCGTCGGCGAGCGCTCCAGGGGCCTCCTGGGGCCCTCGAGGAGCGCCCCAGAGGCTCTGCGGGCGCTTGGAAGGAGTTGGAACGGCAGGTTTTGGGGGGCGGTTTGTGACGCTATGTTCGGCCTCCGGAGCCCGTTTGCGGGCTCCAGGACCGTCGAAAAACGGCAGAGGACGAAAAACCAGTCGTAGAGGGAAACGCATCTTGGGGTCTCTGGGATACCGTTTTCGAGCCTCTTGGCGCTTCTTTTCGGCGTCCTGGGAGTTTCCAGGACCACTCGTTGGCTGTCCTGGGTGCCTCTTGGGCCGCTTGGGGTCGTCTTCAGCGCTCCTGGGGGCCTCTGGGGCCGTCTGGGGCCGTCTTGGGCGTCTCTGGGACCGTCTTGGGATTGTCTTTGGGCTGTCTTGGGCCGTTTGTGGCTCGTAGGGGACTGCGGGAATTCCGTCGTCTGGAATCTCTTCGGATCCTCTCGGAGGCTTCCTGGGGGTGTCCCCGACGCTTCCCAGGGGCTCGTCCGGGGCATTTCGGAGCCCTCCGAGGCAGTGTCGGGAGCCTCTTGGGGCGTCTTGGGCGCCTTGGGGCCATCTTGGGGGTCTCGGGCCGTCTCGGAGCTCGCTTTGGGCTCTGTTGGGCGGCACCTGGGGCCCAGTTGTCGCTGTCTTCTGCGTGACTTGAAACTCTCTTGGGCTGTCTTGGGGCCTTCTTCGGCGGTCTTTGGCCCTTCTTGGGCCATATGAAGGCCATCCTCGGGTTCTGTTGGGCGGCCTAGGGGTGATCTGAGAAGGTCCTGGGGCCGTGAAGGGCCGTTCGTGCCCCGAAATGGCGGGAAGAGCAAGAATCCTCCCAAACCTTCGGAAAACGGTAATTGGTGCCTTTTGGCGCGGTCCACGGGGCCCTCGAGGCACGTCTCTGGGGCATTTCGAGGCCGTCGTGGGGCTCTGGCCAGATCGGCTTCGGCGCTCTTGGGCGTCTTTGGGGCCGTCTTGGAACGATGTGGGGGTCTGGGAGCCATCGGGGAGCGCTCCAGGGGCGTCCTGGGGCCGTCGGGGAGCGGCTCAGAGCTTTGGCAGGTCGAAGCCAACAGAACCGAGAGAGCAGCGGTGAGGCCCCCGATGCAGCGAAGGGTGCGGGTGCTGGTATACTTAGGGCCCCCGAACCGGCTGTAGTGGCCTGCGGGCAATCTCGCCGCGGGCCTGGGTAATGGGTAAGAGATCTCGTGGATGTTGGTTGGGGTCCCGTGGTTGGCCTCTCGGGAGCCTCTGGGAGACAGTTTGGGAGCTTCTTTCTAGCAGTTTGGGGGCGTCTTGGGGCCTCTTGGACCCTCTTTTGGGGCATCTTGGGGGCCTTTTGGGGCGCTTGGCGGCCTCTGGGGGGCCTCTTGGAGCCTCTTTGGGGCGTCCTGGGGCCTCCTGGGGATGTCTTGGGAGCGTCCCAGCGTTTCTTTGGGGCGTCTTGGGACTTCCTGGGGGCCTCTTGGGGTGGAGGCCTAAATTTTTCGGTTCCGGCTCCCTGTCTTGGGCCTCTCTTGGGGCCTTCTTGGGGCTCTCTTGGGCCGTCCTGGGCGACTCTTGGGCCGTCTTGGGGCCCTCTTGGGCCGTCTTGGGGCCGTCTTGAAGGCCTCTTGGGCCGTCTTGGAACGGTCTTGGGGGCCTCTTGGGCGGCCGTGGAGCGTCCGAAAGCTGAAAAAGCGAGAAGGCCAGAAACATTGAAGAAAACAAAGAAAATCAACGATTTGGGCTTCTGCGGCCCCTCTTGGAGGTGCACTTCGAGCGCTGTAGGGGCCTCGTGGAGGCGTCTCGGGCCGTCTTGAAGGCGTCTTGAAGCCATCTTAAGCGTCTCGGATACACTCTTGGACTGTCTTGGGCCGTCTTCGGGACCTCCTGAGGCCGTCTTGGAGCGATCTGGGAATCCTGGATCAGTCCGCGAGCGGTCCGGGGGCCTCACGGGCCCGTCGGGCAGCGGCCTGCACGCTCTCCGGGCGGCCCGCGAGCTCTCTGGGCGGCCCGGGGCGCTGCCACTGCTTGACCTTTTCGCAAGCGCTTCGCCCAGAATTGTAGTACAGACTAAGGCTGACCCGTGGACTACCGTCCACGAATGCCAGAGGATTGAGCGTGCGCTCGTTGCTACTTATTGCTTCAGGGTGCGCTGTTTGCTTGATGATCTTGGCGGCGTCTGGAGCAGCGCTAGCAGCAGCAGCAGCAGCAGCAGCAGCAGCGGCGGCAGCAGCAGCAGCAGCAGCAGCAGCAGCAGCAGCAGCAGCAGCAGATCCAGCACCACCAGCAGTAGCAGCAGCAACAGCTGCAGCAGCAGCAGCTCCAGCAACAACAGAAGCAACGCGGACCTCAGGGGGCCTCCCAGGGGCCTTCTCGTCCTCGTCCTCCTCGTCCTCGTCCTCGTCCTCGTCCTCGTCGTCGTCGTCGTCGTCGTCGTCGTCGTCGTCGTCGTCGTCGTCGTCGTCGTCGTCGTGGTCGTCTTCGTGGTTGTCGTGGTCGTCGTTGTCGTCGTCGTAGTCGTCGGCGTCGTCGCTGCTGTCGTCGTCGTCGTCGTCGTCGTCGTCGTCGTCGTCGTCGTCGTCGTCGTCGTCGTCGTCGTCGTCGTCGTCGTCGTCCTCCTCCTCGTCCTCATGCTCCTCCTCCCCTCCTTTCGCCCTCCTCCTCCGTCTTGTCCCCTTCCTCCTGTCCAGCCTGCTGCTTGTCGTGCCAGCAGTGCCGCGTGCTGTAGCAGGCTGTTCCCAGCGGAGGCATCGGGGAAGCGGCGGGGGGGCCCTCCGATACCAGGGAGGGGGTCCTCGTGGGGCTCTGTGGGAGCCTCTGGAGAGCCTCTGGGAGCCTCTTGAAAGCTCTTGGGAGCGCCTCTGAAGCCTTCTGGGAGCCTCTGGAGAGCGCCCGGGGGCCTCTTGGGAGCGCATCCGGGGCCTTCTGGGGGCGTCTCGGGGGCGTCTTGGAGCCTTGCTGGCCGTGGAGGGACCCGGAGGGGGGGGGAAGCGCTCCGAACTGGACCCTCTTGGTCGTCCCTTGGGGCCGTCTGGGGGGGTTCTTGGGCCGTCTTGGGGGCCCCGGGAGCTCGATCGGGGGCCTCTGCGGGGCCGTCTTGGGGACTCTCTTGGAGGCCTCCGGGCAGCATGGGCCCGATTTCGGACGCCCGCGGTGCCATGGTGGGCGTCTTGGGGCGGGCGGGAGGAGCACCACTGGAAACGTCAAAAACCCTCGAGAATATCAATAGTTTTGTGGCCTAGGGGCCCTCGTGGGGGTCCCCTGGGAGCTCCGTGGAAGCTCGTGGGGGCCCTCCGAGCCCGTCCTGGGGCCCTCTCGGGCTCGCTGGGGAGCTCCCGGGAGACTCTCGAGGTCTCCGTCGGGGCCCTCATGTGCCGTCCAAGAGCTGTCCTGGGCCGGGACGGCGTCGTGTCCGATTCGAGCCAAAATCCCGGGGGGAGTTTTT